CATACTGTTTTAGATACCATAGCCTTGTAGTATAATTTGAAGTCAGGCAGTGTGATGCCTCTGCATTTGTCCTTTTTACTTAGGCTATGCGGGGTCATTTTAAATTCCATATAAATTTTAAGATTGTTTTTTCTAGTTCTATGAGAAATGATGTTGGTATTTTGATAGGGATTGGGCTGAATCTGTAGATTGCTTTGGGCAGTATGCTCATTTTAACAATACTGATTCTTCTGATCCATGAACATGAGATGCTCTTTCATTCATTTGTGCATCTGTGATTTTTTTTCATCAGTGTTTTGTAGTTCTTCTTGTAGAAGTCTTTCACCTCCCTGGTTAGATATATTCCTAGGTATTTTATTTTTTATGTGGCCATGGTAAATGGGATTGAGCTCTTGATTTAGTTCTTGGCTGGAGCATTATTGTGTATTGCAAGGCTACTGACTTGGTATCCTGAGACTTTACTAAAGTCATTCACCATGTCTAGAAGCCTCTTGGAAGGGTCTTTACGGTTTTCTAGGTATCGTGTCATCAACAAACGGGAATAGTTTGACTTCTTCCTTGCCCATTTGAATAACTTTTATTTCTTTCTCTTGCCAGATGGAATAAGAGTGATGAGAGTAGATATCCGTGTCTTATTCCAGTTCTGAGGGGAGATGTATGATGTTGACTGTGGGTTTGTCATATGTAGCTCATTATTTTGAGGCATGTTCCTTTGATATCTAGTTTGTTGGTGGTTTTCATCATGAAGGGACATTGGATTTTATTGAATGCCTTTTCAGTATCTGTTGTGATGATCATAGGGTCTTTGGTTTTGCTTCTTTTTATATGGTGAAGCATGTTTATTGATTTGTGGATATCGAACTATCCTTGTATCCCTGGAATAAAAACCACTTGGTTGTGATGGATTATTTTTTGATATGCTATTTATTCTGTTTGCTACCATTTTGTTACAGATTTTTGCATCTATATTCATCAGGGATATTGGCCCGTAGTTTTCTTTCTTGTTATGTCCTTGCCTGATTTTGGTATCAGTGTGATACTGGTTTCTTAGAATGAGTTGGGGAGAGTCCTCCTCCTCAATTTTTGGGAATAATTTTAGTAAGATTGGTACCAGCTCTTCTTTGTATATCTCATAAAATTTGCTGTGAATCTTTCCGGTCCTGGGCTTTTTTTGTTGTTGTTGGAAGATTTCTTTTTTTTTTTTTCATTATTACTGATTCGATTTCATTGCTCATTACTGGTCTATTCAGGGTATCTATTTCTTCCTGATTCAGTCTTGGGAGTATGTTTCCAGGAATTTATCAGTTTCCTATAGGTTTTCCAATTTGAGGCCGTAGAGGTGTTCATAGTTGTCTCTGATGATCTTTTATATATCTGTATTTCAGATACCATTGTAATGTCAACTCTGTCATTTCTGTTTATATTTATTGAGTCTTCTCTCTTTTTTTATTTAAGGAAATTGAAAAATAGACTCCCATTCTTTTCTGACCTGTAATGTTTTTGCTGAGAAGTGTGTTATTAGTTTAATGTCCTTTCCTTTATAAGTGATTCAACATTTCTCTCTTGCTTCTCTTAGGGTATTTTCTTTCATGTTGACCTTGGAGAATCTCACAGCTGTTCTTCTCGCAATGTATCTTGAAGGAGTTTGAGCTTTGCATCTGGATGTCTAGATCTCTCTCAAGACCAGGGAGGCGTCCTTGAATATTTCCTCAAATATGTTTTCCATACTTTTTACTGTAACTTTTCCCTCTGGGATGCCTATGATTTGTAGGTTGGGTGGCTTCATGTGATCCCATATTTCTCTAAGGCTTTGCTCATTCTTCTTAATTCTTTATGCTTATTTCTATCTGTCTGGATTAATTTGAAGGCTCTGTCTTCCAGCTCTCAGATTCTTTCTTCCACTTGATCTACCCTACTGTTAAAGTTTTAAACTGTGTTTTGGATTTCCGCCAATGAGTTTTTAGTTCCATTTTTTAATGTTGTCAGTCTCTTCTTTCACATCCTGAATTATTGTTCTACTAATTTATTTGTGTTTGTTACCAGCTTCATCTTGGATCTTGTTGAGCTTCTTTATTATCAATATTTTGAATTTGTTGCCTGACACTTCAGGGGTTTCATTTTGGTTGGTGTCCATTGTGGAATAATTAATATGCCCCTCTGAAGGGGTAACACTCTGTTTTTTTCACACCTTGAGTTGTTGTCTGGCTCTTTCTCATCTGAATGAACTATGGGAGCTAGTTTGCATAAGTTCCTTCAATATAGATAGCCTATATATGTTTTCGTAGTTTCCTGAGTGTTAGTTGTAGTAGCAGTGTACTGAGGGTGTGGGCTGGCTCACTGCTTCCTGTGGGGTTGGGGTAGCAGGATCTTGGGAAATTTATCTTGTTCCTTGGTGATGTGTGCCGATGTCAGCGGATAACCTGTTGTGTTGCATAGTTCAACCTCCAGGCCAGCAGGGGCACCCAATGGCTGGCTGTGGCCAATGACCATTCAACTTCCAGGCCAATTATAGACAAGAGGTAGCTACTGCCAACGTGGATGGGTATTTAGTTGATCTTTTTTTTTTTTTTTGAGTTGAAGTCTCATTCTGTCTCCCAGACTGGAGTGCAGTGGCATGCTCCCAGCCACCACAGCCTCGACCTGCCGGCAATCCTTCCACCTCAGCCTTCCAAGTAGCTGGAACTACAGTCACACACTACCACACCCGGCTAATTGTTTTATTTATTGTAGAGATGAGGTCTCACCAAGTTGCCCAGGCGGGTCTCGAACCCACGGGCTCAGGCAATTCATTCACCTCGGCCTCCCAAAGCGTGGGATGACAGATTGAGCCACCAAGCCCGGCTAGTTGATCCTTATTTACTGGGAGAAGCTCTCTGTTGTCTCAGACAGTGAGCTTGTTTTTCTTTGCTGTCCGTCTATATATTTCTAATACATTTTAACCACCACCCCCAGTAGGAAATCCTGTACCCATCAAGCAGTCGCGTGCCATTGTCCCTCTCCTCAGCCTCTGACAACCATGAATGTAATTTGTCTCTATAGATTTGCCTGATCTGGACATTCCATATAAATGGAGTCATACAACATGTGACCTTTTGTATCTGGCTTGCTTCACTTAGCATAATGTTTTCAAGGTTCGTCCATGTTGTAGCATGTATCAGGACTTCAATCCTTTGTAAGGCTGAATGTCTTAGTTCATTTGTGTTTCTATAAAGGAATACCTGAGGCTGGGTAACTAATGAAGAAAAGAGGTTTATTTGTCTACAGTTCTGCAGGTTATGCAAGAAGTATGGTACCAGCCTCTTTAGGTGAGGACCTCAGGTTGCTTCCACTTGTGGCAGAAAGCAAAGGTGTATGCAGAGATCACGTGGTGAGAGAGGAAGCAAGAGTAGGGAGGAGGTGCTGGGCACTTTTTGACAATTAGCTCTCAGGGGAAATAAGAGTGAGAAGTGGCCAGGTGTGGTGGCTCACTCCTATCATCCCAGTACTTTGGGAGGCAGAGGCAAGAGGATTGCCTGAGCCTGGGGGCTCAAGATCAACCTGGGCAATGTGGAGCTACCTTGTCTGTACAGGGTATTAGCCAGGCATGGTGGTGCACACCTGTAGTTCCAGCTACTTGGAAGGCTGAGGGGGAAGGATCGCCTGAACTCAGAAGGTCGAGATTGTGGAGGCCATAATCGTGCCACTGAACTCCAGCATGGGTGGCAGGGTGAGACTCCAACTCCTCCCACTCAAAAAAAAAAGATTGAAAAGTAACTCAGTCCTTGAGAATGTCACCAAGCCATTCATAAGGGATCTGCTCATGACCCAAACTCCTCTGCCAAGCTCCACCGCCGAAACTGGGGATCAAATTTAAACATGAGATGTGGGAAGGCCAAACAAGTCATATGCAAACCATAGAACGAATAATCTGGATTGACCACATTTGGTTATTCATTCATCAACTGATGGAGCTTTTAGGCTGTTTCCACTTCTTGGTTATCGTTAACATAGCTATTATGAACATTTACATACAGGTGCTTATTTGAACACCCGCAACGAATTCTTTTCTTAATGCTACACCCCTCCTTATCTTTATTTTTTATTTTTATTTTTTATTTTTTGAGTTAGAGTCTCACTCTGTCACCCAGACTGGAGTGCAGTGGCCACTCCCGGCCACCGCAGCCTCGACCTGCTGGGCTCTGGCGATCCTTCCGCCTCCGCCTTCCAAGTAGCTGGAATGACAGGTGCGCGCTACCACATCCGGCTAATTTTTTGATTTATTGTAGAGATGAGGTCTCGCCAAGTTGCCCAGGCGAGTCTCAAACCCGCGGGCTCAGGCAATCCACTAACCTCAGCCTCCCAACGTGCGGGATTACAGGCTGAGGATAGAAATAAAATGAACTTTTAGGTATGAAATTAGTAATATTTAAATTTTTGATTAATTAATTATAATTAACATTTAATTTAACAATAATTACAAAGCACCTGTATTTAACATGCTTCATCTCATTTATCACCATAATCCTGAAGCAGGCAGTATCACCTCCACTCTATCAATCAGAAAACTGAAGCTCAGAGGGTTAAACAATTTACCTGTGGTCACACAGCCAGCGTGCCAGCCAGCACAAGAACCCAACTTTTTCTGACTCTGAAGTACCTTTCTCTCCTACTTCACTCATGGAGCTGCCAGGGAGGTGAGAGAATGAATGAGAGGGAAACCACTTTGCAAAGTAATTCCCACCAAACGCCTATCTCGACCGAGTCAACATGCAGAAGCTGATGGTAAGAAAACGCTGGCTGTAGCCACATGCCTATAGAAGGGAGGAGTGATCTGGCTTTGGGGCCCATGTAGCCTGCTTTCCAGGCTTACTCCAGATTCCACAGCTGCTTGGCTGAGTAAATAATACTGGACCCATCTTCCACATCCCATCTTGGTCAAGGATAAGCTTCCCCCGCCCAGGGGGACTGGACATGCTGCTCCACACCCTAGAACGGACATGGTGCTGTGGGGGGCCTCGTACCTGCTGCTGGCTGCTCCATGGGCAGGTCTCCGATCTGCTCTCTGGAGAGTTCCGGCAGGCACTGGTCTTGCTCTTCCTGCAGCACTCGAAGCACATCACACAGTGGGGGCGGGGCTCCGACCTACAGGTCCAAAACCCGGAATGCTCATCACTGCCACTTACTCGGTGCTACCTGGGCCTAGCCAGCTCCAGGATCGTGTAATGCTCATTCCTTCCTCACCCCGTTTCCCTTTTATCCCAGACACAATACAGCAAATGATTTAATCACATGGTTTGTCATTTAGTCTCTGGCATGGAAACACTTCGTTTCCCTAAGAATATAGCAATTGTCAGCTGCTGCCACACAAGGACTTTCCACGCAGAAGGCCCTGCCCGCAAGGAGCTTCTCGTCTGCAGAAGAGTTGGAGGCAGCCACCCCTGGGAGGGAATTCAGGATACAGCTGGGACAGCTGCAATGCTCAAATGATCTGTGACTTGTCAGCTGCAAATCTTGGACTTAAATGCATCAAGGCTCCTGAGCCCAACCAACTGTTTGCTTTCTTGGCACCTTACTGTTAGTCTGAGGAATTAGTTTGTTCCACTCCAGCTGTGTGGATATCTCTGGTTTTGAAAGTTTCGTTTTGATTCAGACACTTTATTTTTAGCCTACACTTCAGTATCTCCTGGTCCCACAGAAAAGAGCATAGGTCCAATCTAGAACAGCAACTACAGGGAAGACTAGGACAGGAGGGTGGAGGAGGGACTGGCACACGCTCCTGGTTTCCTAGCTCCTTCCAGAGTAGACTTTACAGCATGGCTTCATTGTTTCATTGGTGCCTGAGACTTGTTAAGTTCAATGAATGAGCAACTGAACAGAGGAATGAATTGCACTCCTACTTTCCTTACAAAATATAGGTAGGATGCTTTTTAATATTGCAGAGCCTTCTGGCATAAATTAACTTAATCAATTACAAGTCAGGTCTTATACCTTCTTATCAACCTTCCACCAATGCTTGGAAGAGGGAAACTCCAACATAATGGAGTCAGGGGAGAAGTCCTTAGGGACAAAGCTACAGTCCAAAAAAGCTCTGGGCCAGGGAAGGACAGCTAAGGTAGCACTATATCCGAATGACTCCAAAGACAAACATAAGTAATCTTTCAATTATCTCCTATTTTGGATCTGCCGCCTCTTACTACCCTTCGTTAGTGCAATCAGAAAGGCTCTACAAGCTGTCAGCAATTTGTTCCTCTCCCTCCACTACCTGATATCTATTGGTCCCCCACAAAACACACATCAGCTCCCCTGGCCCAGAGCCTGTGAACAGCCATAGCAAGCACTTCAGAAACACCTGGGCCCTTCCAGCTCCAGTATCATGTAATACTCATTCCTTCCCCACCCTAAGTTTCCATTTTACTCCAGACATAATACAGCGAATGATTTAATCACATGGTTTGTCATTTAGTCTCTGGTATTGAAGCATGTAGTTTCCCTATGAATGTAGCAATTGTCAAGAGACTTGGCACTGGCACACAGCCCACACACTCATGCCCCTGTCCTCTCCCTTGTGGGGTCCTCACTGAAGCCCACAGTCTCTGATACTCTCTGGCTTTTCAGAGGAGGAAATAGGAGAGCTTGAGAGGAAAAAATCCACCTGCAGGTTGGCAGGCACCGCCTGTTAGTTCACTGGTAGGCAAACATTCCGGTTAGAGCCACTCAGAGACTAACTTTACTCTTCACAGGTAAATAAGTGCTGGAGGTAGTGAGAGCAAGTACACTCTTTCAAGTAATTTAAGAAATCATATATTAAGTGTCACAAAAATGTTCATACCCTTACGCCTCCTAACTACTTATGGGAATCCATCCTTTATGTGGGGAAAACTTTATATAGACTGATTCTGTTGCAGCTTTATATCTGATAGGGGGAAAAAAAGACACACATCTGGATCCAGGAAAATAGGTTAGATGTACTTTTCCCTACTACTTCCACTAAGTAGAAATAAAACTAGAAATGGTACATTTTACACAAGACAAGCATAAGAAGACGCTGAAAGGTGGAAGAAAAATGCAGATGAGCTAGGGTCCTCAGGATCTGAAGCATGACATGGTAATGAGTTCCTCTGCATAATATCACAGTATTGGAGCTGAATAAGTCAGCAGTAGGAAACACCACCAGGTGCAAACAAAAAAGCCTCAATGAGATGAGTGTGGTGGCATGCTCCTACAGTCCCAGCTACTAGAGAGGTTGAGGCAAGAGGATCCCTGAAGCCCAGGAGTTTGAGGCTGCAGTGAGCTGTGATCATGCCACTGCACTCCACTCTGGGCAACAGAGTGAGACCCTGTTATTCATAAATAAATAAAACATCTGCTTTCTAGCCAGGGACCCAGAAAGGGGCACCCAGCAAAGCAGAAAACGTTTAGAAAATAACCTACTCTTACTAAAAACGGCAGGGAAAAATGTAGCCCAATCCACAACTCCTTGAAAAGGCCAAGTGGAGAACTGGGACTACCATTTTGCCAAGCTGTAACACGGTCCTTAATCTTGGTGATGTTGGGAGGTAATGTGTGTGTTTCATGGAGGCAGCAACCTCTGGCCAAGGTGATGTCAGAGAAGTATGGAGCTGAAACCTTCATCCCTGCTTTGTGGTGATGAAGTTCTCCCCAGTCCATGGTATCAGTGAAAATTAGACTTCAACCCTAACTCACAAGTAACAAGATATCCCCCTCCGTCTCCCCACCGGGAGAGTGTCAAAAGAAGTCTGGTAGAGAATCAGGACTTTCACTACTACCTAGTGGTAATGAGGCCATCCCCACTGCAGTCTTAATGGCGATTATGTGGGGAGCTGATACTTCCCTTCACCCCCATCATCAACTCCCTCCTTGTAGGTATCAAATGAGGCCAAGGGGAAAGTTGAACTTCTGCTTCCACCTGGTAGTAAGCAGGCAGCGTTCATTCACCCCCTTCCTCTGTCAGAAAAAGCTAACTGAGAGAGAAGGTTTAAATAAGATCCAGCTAGCTTTCAATCAAAGATCACTCATCAACAGCCAAGAAGATTTCAAACTGAATGAAAAAAGATTTTTTAAACAGTCATCATAAAAATGCTTCAATGAGCAATTATGCTTGAAACAAATGTAGAAATATAAACCTCAGGAGAAAGGAAAGAAAGAAGAGCTCAGCAAAGAAACAGAAGATATAAAGAAGAAGCAAATGAAAATTTTAGAGATAAAAAAACAACAACCAAAATAAAAACGCTCAGTGGTTGGGCTCAACAGCAGAACGGGTGGTGGTAGGGCGGAGAGGATAGAGAAAAGATCAGTGAACTAGAAATTAGAACAATAGATACTATTGTTCTAATACTCAGTCTGAACAATAAAGATAAAATAAACTGAAAATTAAAATGAACAGACCATAGGAATCTGAGGAGGATTATAACAAAACATCTAACACTCACTTTTTAAGAGTTTCAGAAGAAGAGAAAGAGGTTAAGGTTGAAAAAGGACTCCAAGAAATAATGGCCAAAAACGTCTCAAATCTGGTGAGAAACATACACTTATAGATTGAATAAGATGAACCCCAGAAAGGAGAGATCTAAAAAAAAAAAAAAAGGATAGTTGTTGTTTTTTTTTTTTTTTAGAGGATGCATTCACATCAGGCACATCATAATAAAATTTTTAAAACTAAAGACAGAGAAAAAATCTGAAGGCAGACAGAGAAAACCACACCTTACCTATAGGTAGAAAACCGTCAGAATAACAACTGATTTTCCATCAGAAACCATTGAAGCCAGAAGAAGGTGGCACAATATTTTTAAAGTGCTGAAAAACAGAATTATCAGTCATGAATTATATACCCAGTAAAAATCTCCTCCAGGAATGAAGTGGAAATCAAGATAGTCTCAGATAAGGACTAAATGAATTGGTTGCCAGTCAGCCTATCCTAAAAAAAAAAAAAAAAAAAAATTAAAGGTAAAAGAAGAGCACTTGGAGCATGAGGACAAAAGAAAGAAAACAGTAAGCAAAAATGTGGGTAAATGCGATTGGTTTTCTTTCTCTCCGGTTTTCTAAATTATGTTAATGATTTAAGCAAAAATTATAACACTGTCTGATGTGATTCTAAATGTATGTTGAAGAAATGTTTAGACAAGTATGTTACAAATGGAGGATGCTAAAGGGACATGAATAGAGGTAAAATTTTATACTTCACTTGAACTGAGATTATGGTAACACCTCTAAAAGCATAGGCAACCACAGCAAAAATAGACAAATGGGATTACATCAAACTAAAAAGCTTCTACACAGCAAAGGAAGCAATCAACAAAGTGAAGAGACAATCCACAGAATGGGAGAAAATATTTGCAAACTATCCATCTGACAAGGGATTAATAACCACAATAGATAAGGAGCTCAAACAACTTGATAACAACAAAAAAATGTGTTTTAAAAATGGGCAAAAGATATGAATAGACATTTCTCAAAAGAAGGTATACAAATGGCCATCATGTATATGAAAAAATGCTCAACACAACTAATCATCAGGGAAATATAAATTAAAACCACAGTGAGGTATCATCTGAATGGTTATTATGAAAAAAACAAAAAAATAACCAATGCTGGTAAGGAAACAGAGAACAGGGAACTCATACACTGTTGGTGAGACTGAAAACTAGTACAGCCACTCTAAAGAACAGTATGGAAGTTCCTCAGAAAACTACAAATATAGCTACCACGTGATCCAGCAATCCCTCTACTGGGCATTTATCTAAAGAAAAGGAAATTGGTATATCAGAGACACCTGCACTCCCATGTTAATTCAACACTATTCATAATAGCCAAGATATGAATTTAAACTAGGAGTCCAACAGATGAATGCATAAAGAAAATGTAGTATATATAAACAATGAAATACTACTCAACCAGAAAAAAAAAAAAAGAAAGAAGTCCTGTCATTTGCAGCAACCCTAGTTGGAACTGGAGGACATTATGTTAAGTGAAATACGCCAGGAACAGAGAGTTATATGTGTTTTCACGTATATGTGGAAGCTAAAAGGAAGTTGATCTCATAGAAGTAAAAAGTAGAACAGAAGAAACTAGAGTCCAGAAAGGGTAGGGGAAATGGGAGAATAGAGAGAGATTTGTTAAAGGAT